AAAAAAAACCATATCATCCAGCCCTCTCCTTCGAAGAGCAGACCTGAAGGGAAGGCAGTTTGCTACAAAGAGAGGCAGACAATGTACACAACCAGCTAAAATTAGTTTGCGCTAAAATTAGTGCCGGCAAGTTGGGCGGCAAAAATAGTCCCCAAATAAGATGACGCGGGCTGCGAAAAGTAACAAAAACAATGGAAAGCAGCGGAGCGTGACACACAAAGAGATAAAAAGGGACAAAGCGCGGGCGGGCAGGCGGCCTCAGTGGGCCAGGGGGCGGCGAATACAGTAGTCGCCGGTTGTTAAGCCCACGGTTAATACACCCAACCGCTCTTAAGGCCCAATTTGGTCTGGGCCCGAGGTGGGCTTAATAACCGGCGACTACTGTATAAGAATAAGGGAGCGGCGACACCAGACGAAACCGATCAGTGGAGGTAGGAGGATTTGGAAATGCGCTACTTCAGGGATTTATCCTAATTTACCATATGGCTAATGTCTAAGAAATTGGCCAGACAACGTCAGCTCAATGAGCGTAAACGACAACCACGAAGTCTGCGCGTGCCCTAGCACAGCATCGGTGAATTAATTAATAGGAAGGCAGGATTTATACAGGATTTGTTGCTGTCCTCTTGACACTGTCATGGTTAGAGCTGACATAATTTCTTCTCACAGATGAAATATTTAAGACGCCAAAACGAACTTCAGGTCCACGTGACAGACTAGAGGACGTTAACGTCCTTATGAAAATTGAGATTTCCAGACTGAACGTCCTCCTTGTTAGTCAGTTTTTCACTTCTTTTACATACAAGGCCTGGCGTAATAGCCTAGACGAGGTTGCTCTTATGGTCAATTCTACTCTAAGAAATTGAGAGAAGGGTTGCCGTGTGAGATCATGAGTCAAGTGGGGTAGTGGACAAAAATAAACTCGGAGACAATTATTCATTACACCGAATGGAGTAGCTGGCAGATAAGGCAGACGAATGCAGTACCTTGAGAGCGGAGCGAAGAACGGTCAACTGGCCCGGCGGTTGAATGAAAGGTTCCCCGTCCACTTGAATAGGCACTTCGGATTTCAAAATTATTTTCAGCTAAAAAAAGAGGAGTGATGAGGTCAAAACACGCAGAGCACCACAAAGGTAACAAACCATGTAGACAGGAAAGGATACGAATACTAATCCGAAACAACCTAAATTTCGGCAATTATAATGGAAACGGGGGCCGCGCTGCTTGATCTGCCAGAGGAATCTCCACACCTGAGCGAACAAATATAATTCAAATAGGTAGATTTATGTCACTAAAAGAAGTTGTTTTATACACTCTAAACCTCCAAACACCTACGTCGAACGAGACTATTACCTATGATACACTAGCTCGGCAGCTATAAGTGCGCGTACGGGCGCCGCTGTGACATAACCAAACCCACTCTTCTCTTCAAAAACGCAGACTTGATACCAGAAGTCCAAGAACCGCCTCCCTGTCAGAAGAAGAAGAAGATACGACGGCTAGAGCATGGCATTTCGGATGCTTGCCCGAACCCATCATCAGAGATAGTCGCAGTGGCAACGAGCCCAGTTGTCGGATGATCATAATGCTGAGAATCTAGAGCGGTGATTAAATTTCGATAATTAACGACTCGGAAGTGGACTAACGAGCAGTGATCGCTTCATGTACAACCATCAGCGATGAAACCAAGATCTGCTAATTGGATTAAGCACGTAGCGAAATTACAACTATATTATATACATACTGCATCCCTGACGCCATCTTCATCCTTATCTGCGACCGTTTTTGATTATGCATTTAAGCAAGAGCCCGAAACGTCAGGCCAATTAACTTCAGGTTCCAACGATCACATCTTTTTTTTTCTGAACTACTTCCTAGAAGTAGCCTCCTCCTTCTATCAACATCTCCATGCTCTGATGGACTGTTGTGAGCAAGTTTTAGGACTTACCTTCCTTTCGACGCCATCAGGTTGACAGCAGTTATAGTGAAGTGACGAAGAACAAGGCTCCCGGAGTCTTCTGTCGCAACTGGTCGCGAACATGCTCGCAATGTTTTTCCAACGATTGTGTCGGTTTACTTTATTCAAAGGATAATTCTCGGGCGACGGTGGTTAAAGACGTCCAATTTTTTTCTCGTCTTCCCCGTGCACAGCCCAACATTCCTAACTGTGAAGGAGGTTTAACCGGACAACTGACCTGCTTCGCAGTTTCATGGCGACTTACTTGTACTTGCTTCGGCTGTGATCATGCCTGATCTAGGCGGTCTTTATGAGGTCACGGA